CTTTTCTTTGTATAAGAGTTATACTCCTGTATGATCTTTGCTTTGTATGAGAGTTAAATTAAATTTTAATAAAGACAAAGACATGGTCTCACCATTAATATTCAAAAAAAAAAAAAAATTATCACTACATAATCTACTTCTGTCTTTATAAAGTTTACTCAAATCTTAGTATTTCTCTTCAAGATAACTTAGTATCTTCACTTTCAGTACTTCTAACTAACCTTCCCAGACTACCAATTCAGATAGCTCAAAATGAATACTAGTTTCTTGATATTTGTATTGCAGATCTTTTTTCTCTAAATATCCAGTTCTTATTTAGATGTGCTAACTTTAGATAAAGTTTATTCCAATAGTACTATTGAAAATTTGTGCTATCTCTCTACTTAAGACTTGCCAAGTGAGTGTCCTATCATTATATTAGCTTTGTCAGCTTTCTACAACTCTTAAAGATTTATCTTAGATTTATATTAACTAAATCAGCTTGCATGCCTTTGTATAACTTTTTATTATACAAATATTCAAAAATTTTTTAATTCTAATATAATCATTACTTAGTATGATTACAGTTACAAAATCTTAAATTTTTCTAGCCATAATAATAGTTAAATCTATTTTTCTAAATTCAATTTTTGCTCTTTGTGAGAATTAACTTGTATTTAACTACTTAGAATGCAACAGCTTTAATACTTTACTAAGTTGCCATACCCTCTTTGCCAAAGTCTTTTTAATACTTATTTTTACTATATAATTTAGTCTTATTTAGTAACTTATATTAAGTCTGAAGACAAATACTTGCGAACTACTATAACTACTATTATTATCTATTAAGCACTTGTAGAGTTTATCCAAACATTGATATTTTCTCTTTAAGACAATCTAATATCTTTTCTTTCAGTACACCTAGCTGATCTTTTTAAACTACCAATTTAGATAATCTGAAAAATATTAGTTTGTAATATCTGCTAATTTTTTACTTTTGATTGATATTTATACCAGTAGTCTAATTAGTAAAACAACTTGTCAGGTGCTTTTGCTACATTCAATTAACCAGCCTTGGATAAAATCTATTTTAGTAACTACTATTAAAGATTTGTATTATTTCTCTACTCAAGTCTTGCCAAGCAGAAGTCTATTTTTCTAGTTCTTTAGATTATATGATTATAAAGACTTATTTTAAGTTTGTATTATCCAAACTAGCTTGTATGCTTTTATATAATTTATGCATTATATAAATATTTTACAATTTTTCAATTTTGTTGGTGCTATCAAGGTTACAAAAATCCTGTTCTAACTAATTGTTAAAAAACAATAACTATTATATAAGCAGAATATTTAAATTTCTATTGTCAAACCCCAATTTGCCAACATATCACTTGGGAATGCAACAACTTAACCACTTTATTAAGTTGCTACACATTTTATAAATTACAATTTGTAAAATAATTTTGTATAAAAAATTAATTAGATTGAAATTAGAGTTAGAGTTAAAACTAAGGTTATAGTTAGAATAAAGTTATTATATATCAAAATTTTGCAAAAAATTTTTTGTTAGAATACAAAAGTGTGTTTATAGACAAAATTTTAAAATATTACAAAATATTTCATTTTTGTTATATAAAATTAATTTGTGTATTATACATGATCTTCAAATTTAATTAGTTACACAATAGATGTTTTATAGAATAGATAGGCAAACTTTGCAAACTTCACAATTCTACTATAAAAAATTAATAATTACTAATTATTAATGAAGCTTATTTATTATATTAACCACCTATTCTATAGAATATTTCAGGCAATATATAACCATAATACAGGAATGCAAAACCTAGAAAACTTTATAAAAATATATATATATATAATAAACTTAAAAATAAAATTTTTATATAATTATAGTAAAAATAGCAAAAGGTTATAGTAAAAATAATAATTCTTTAAAAAATGCCAAAAACTAAATTGATAGGTTTTTGATTTTTTAATATTAATAACTTATTAAATCTAACAATTCAGTTATTAAAAATTTTTTAGTTTGAAAACAATTATTATTAAAAAATCCACATTCCGAGGCCACCCATGGCTTATGAATAACCTGAATCCTCATAGGATGACAATTATATAATTGGTTAATTTTTATAGATTAAGTAATATATAAATTTTAAAAGAAATTATTGTTTTAATATTATTTGAAAGCGAAAAAACTTCACATGAAGAAGCATACAAAATTCGTAAATACATGCAAAAAAATTTATTACATATATTTAGAGAATGGATAAATACACGTAAAGTGAGATAAATGTGATATTTATTACCAATAAACCTTAACTCATTAAAGAATCTTTGTTGACAAATCCAAGTATACTACAATAACCGACCGACATTCTTTACTAAAAAGCCTGAACTTTTTCAAATTAAATGTTAACAATAAATTTTATTTAAATCTAACGAATTAAGTAGTTTTTTTGACGAAAAACATTTTCGCTACCTTTACTCTACAGCGCAATCCAATAGATTCTTTTTGGATTCTTTGTATGGTGAATATCAACGTTCGTTCAAAGCTAAGAATGACTTTTATGACGATTTTTTATTAGTGAAACTTTATTTTCTTCAAAAGTACTCTAAAATAGATAAGTTTTCCGGACATCTGATTTACATCAGCCAATTAGATGAATGTCGTCCTATGAGGTTGACTCATCTGTTTCCACAACTCAACCGGGTCACCTGCGGAAGACCCGGATGGTACCCACCGGATCCAATCACTAATTTTAGCATAAACAATTTGCAATATTTTGATGGTAATATTTAATAATTTATAGTCTTTAAAGTTTAAAGATATTTGATTGGCTAATTAAAATAAAAAATTAACACAAAATTAGTCTGATTAAGCAATTATAATTTGTAATCACATACAAAATTTTGCTTATGTCTTTAATGTTTTTAAACAATAATATTTAATTATATAATATCAAAATAAGACAAAAACATTAAGTGGTAGATCGCAGTTGTAAGGTATAAATTACATAGTAAAAATCGGTGGAAAATTACTATTACTTTCATATAATGTTGGAATGCCGAAAGTTTCTGGGAATATGTAAAAATCATATAGTCATGAACTTGCGATCTGCTAAATTAATTTTAATAATTTTACCATAATTAGACCGGAAAAATTTTCATTGTAAGCTAGCTGCATTATACCCCTATTGAAAAACTATATTCTAATAATTTATACTATTAAATTTGCTATCTTTTATACCCTTTAACCACGATTTACCTCTTAAATATTTTTAAAATAAATATTATACAACAAATAAACCAATTAAGATCTGATCTATTTATAAATACCATAGAATCTTCTACAATTACAAAATTTTTATCTAAATTTGTTGTGCATGGAAAGTACGGTACGCACAACACCGGTCCAAGTTGTCAACACATCTTTCTTGATCACATTATTAATTACCAATATGCCTAGAAATAAATCATTATATCTATATATTAATCAGGTTCTGAGGCAATGAATTTATTATTTGCTAATTAATCTAAAAGAAATAACACACTTTATTAAATAACAATTTATTTATTAGTGAGGTGACCAATATAATTTTTAGTTTCTGATGCAGCTATTTATTAAATTATTTAATACTAAATAGTACTATTAGAAATTGAATTGCGTAAAGATAAATAATATTTACATAACATAGTTTAATGTATTAACAATGTCAAAATAAATTATCCGAACTTATAAAATTTAACCGTACGTACATACGTATTTGCGAATATACATGTGCATATATATCGATGATAGATATTTACTGTATTAAATTTGGTATCTAAATAAAGACATTTAAATCATATGACTGTACGTCATAATGAAATAGCCTTTGTTACATAAAAATCAAAAAACCCATTGAGACAAAATTAAAAGTCGGCGATCTCCCCAATTCTGTTGATTGTGGCTTTGTTAAATTTAGATGCTTTTGTTCATGACATTATTTGTAATACATCAACCGTTTTAGAAAAACTTGTATCGAGACGGTTAAAAATAGCAGCTATCGTTATACATGAAAGAAGATTTTTTTAGACATTTTGGGTATACAAACAATGCCTTAATCATATGCAGAATACGAAAGGCAAGTGATTTTAATTACAAATCATTAATCGAAAATTTGATGGAAAAAAAATTAGAAAATTTATTTAATGCCAAACGAAATGGATTTAAATGGAACCAAAATTCCAATTAAAAAAGAATGAGCGAGCCAAATCCAAGTCAAATTAGCAATATCGATATGTATCAGTTTGTTGACAAGACTGGTACATTCAAAGTCAATGTTCCATTTCCACCTTCGATCGATGTTAAAGAACTGATTTTTTCTAAACCTGACAAAAGTAAAGCGCCAAGATCACCCAATGCGTTTATTATTTACAGAAAAGTATTTTCAGAATCAGCACGAAATGAAGGATATTATTTGCCAATGACAGTCGTCTCATCACTCGCATCTCAATCGTGGGAAAAGGAACCAGAAGAAGTTCAAGCTTATTATAAACAACTTGCGAAAGAGGCATTTAAGTATAGAAATGAAAAGTACCCAAAAGTTATTAAGCGTAGAAAACGAAAAGCGGGATGTAATGTTATTACATTCCACGTTCCAACCAATTTTGAACCAGCAAAGAAAGCCAACCAAACCTTACGAATTCAACAAGAATTTGAAGACACAATTGATTTTAATACATTTACTACACCAGAATTTACCACACCAGAATTTACTACACCGGAATTTACTACATCGGAATTTACTACATCGGAATTTACTACATCGGAATTTACTACACCAGAATTGTCATCGAATATATCTACATCTACGTCATCGCCAATATTTGAACAACTTTTTCAGGTTGAAGGAGGATATCCTAGTACAAACTTTTCTATCCAGAGCAATACACCAGTTAACTTTCTGCCGCTTAACGTGAATGAACAAACTGATTTCAATTTCAAACCCGATTTTAAAAACGATTTCGATATCAATTTCAAGAACAATTTCAATTTCAACAATGATTTCAATTTCAATAACAATTTCAATTTCAATAGCAATTCTAATTTCAATAACGATATCAATTTCAATAGCAATTCTAATTTCAATAACGATATCAATTTCAATAACAATATCAATTTCAATAATGATATCAATTTCAATAACGATATCAATTTCAATAATGATATCAATAATGACTTTATCACAACTAGCCAATCTTATAGAAATTTCTTACCTTTACGGGATTCACAACTTGTACCAGTCGAACAAAACAATCAAAATAAGAAAAATAACCAAAACAAGCAAAGCAAACAAAATGACCAAAGCAAACAAAATGACCAAAGCAAACAAAATAACCAAAGTAGCCAAGGTAACCAAGGTATCCAAATTCAAGCGTACCAACCAATTGATCAAAGTTATCTCGACACTTTGCAACAAACGCAGGAATTTAACATGTTACCACAGGAATTTAACATGTCATCTCAGAACATTACGGATATTTCATTAAATAATGAAGTTCCTAGACCTAACGATGCATTCAATACATTTGGAATTATTACTCAAAATTCTAATATTAGCATGAATGAGTTTACATTTTCGAATTTTGCTGACATGACAAACTATAATTAAAATAGTCTTTATTCAATTCAATTAAATTTATTCAATTCATTTAGATTTATTCAATTCATTTAAATTTATTAAATTTATTCAATTCATCTAGATTTATTCAATTCATTTAGATTAATTCAATTCATTTAGATTAATTCAAATTCATTTAAATTTATTAATTCATTCATTTCAATTCATTCGGGAATTAAAAGAAATTGGTAATCTATAATATATAATTTATAATATTTATAATTTTAAAAAAATAGAATTAAAACGAAATATATACATTCAAATATATCACAAACACACCACGAACACATCACGAA